TAAACTTTAGATTACTAACGTTATTTTTATCTAACTTACCTATTTTTACCTGTAAATATAGAATAGATTAAATACCTATGTTCTTATACCCTGTAATTCCAAAGTAATTCAGTTGTTACTGCTAGTTTGGAAATTTTTAATAATAATAATAATAATAATAATATTGCTTGTTTCACCGCTGATTCAGCCTTTCCGTTGGGAAAGTTAATGGTGCGGGCTGGGCAGAACATGTTCGAAGCCGTATTTTGTACTAAATGTGCTGAAGTCGTTGCTAATGAACTGTGCGCCATTGTCTGCAACGACATTTTCGGGAATTCCGTATCTCGCGGTGTGTTTTGAGTTTCTTTGTCAAGTGTTTTGTGGTTGCTTGTTCGAGACGGTCTATTTCAAAGAAATTTGAGAAATAATCAACAGTTACGAAGTAATTTTTGTTGTCGAAGGCCATTAAATCACAGCCAACTTTCGTCCAGGTTCTGTTAGGTACTTCGTGGGAAACTAGTGGTTCGTTCGGTTGCTGGTCATGGTAGCTCTAGCAGGCGTCGCAGCGTCCGATGTAGTCTCGTATCTCCTGATTGATGTGTGGCCAGTAAATGCTTTCTCTAGCTCTGCGCATGGACGATTCAAGTCCTTGATGGGCGGTATGAAGTTCAATCAACATCTGTCGTCTCAGCGACGTCGGAACCACTAGTCTGTTTCCGCGAAATACAAGGCCATCGGTCATCACTAATTCATCTCGTACATGAAAGAATGGGGTTATCCTTGGGTTTAGTCCTTTTTGGTTATAGGGCCATCCACGTTGGATGTAGTCTTTAACAATTTGCAGGTCTTTGTCTTTGGTGGTTTCGGCCTGGAACTGCTTCAGTGTTGCTTCGTTTGTGAGCAGCTGATTTATTTCTTCTACTCAAGCGACATTGGTGCCTCTGCTGTGGACGGAGCGGGCGAACCGGTTTTAACGTTGTTGGTGTTTTTTAGATATAGTGGCGACTGAGGGTCATGTCTGCCAGGTATATTTCACTTCCTTTTCTCTACTGAATGTTAAGGTCGCAATGTTGTAATCCCATCATCGTTTTCCGGAGACGCCTTGGAGCAGTGGAAAGGGGTTTTTGATATATCATTTCCAGGGGCTTGTGATCTGTTTCGACCGTGACTGAGCGACCGATGGAAGCGTGTTGTTTCGTATACTAGGGAGTTTACGAATGTAAGACGGCGACGTCAGAACGACGGATAAACAAACTGTTTGAGATAAATGATTGTATGGAAGCCTTGTCTTGTATTTACTTTCTTATGAATTTAAAATAGTTTCGAACGAGTAAAACAGAGTTTTAATCCTCAGAGCAATGTTGATCAACTCTGCTAGAAAAACTACCTGTCACGGCTTGAAATGCTAGTGTACTAAAGAAGACGTGAAAATATGCATTTTGCTGTTGTCAACAGAGCGTGGACGACGTCTAGAAACCCTGTTAGACTTTTAATTATTCATTTCTTTTGTGCTATAGGATTAATGTTATTGTATTGATAGCCGTCGTCCTGACGTCGCCGTCTCACATTCGTAAACTCCCTACTATTGCCAGGAGCTCTTTTTCGATTTGGGCGTAATTTCGTTCGGCGTCAGTCAACGCTCTGCTGGCAAAGGCGATGGGCTTTTCGTTCAGGATGAGTGCTGCACCCAAGCCGTGATCACTAGCATCACACTGTAGAACTAATGGGCAAGCGGGCTCGTAGTATTTCAAAACAGGTGGCTCGGTGATAAGGTGTTTGATCGTTGCAAATGCTTGGTCGTGCGTGCAGTCCCAGCGAAGGGGCTCTGAGACTTCTGATAGGTGTGGAAGAAATTTTGCTAGGTTGTTCACAGTAACCAAGATTCTTCGAACACCGGCGACATCATTCGGTGGCCGCATGTTGAGTATGGCCTGGATCTTTGCTGGATCTGCCTGCATGGATGCCGTCTGACGTAAGTATGTGACCAATGTAGAGCATAGATGTCTTCTTTAGTAGAACCTTTTCACTGTTGAGCTTGATCTGCTGGCTGGTCATATTTTCTATATTCTTTTCTTAGTGGATTCTTGCATTAATAAATGTTTCCTGATACCATGTTTAAGAACCCTTTCTTTTACTGTTTTTCTGAAATTTATTCGTTTAAGAATAATAGTTTTTTCTAAATTCCTTTGCCTCTCGCCTATTTCAACAATAATAACAATGATGAATAATAATTAGTTAAAGCGCGCCAAATGACGCGTAAGTTAATATGTAACTGTCAACAGAAACAGTCTTTGTGGAACAAATCAGTCGCGTAATATCTCAAAAACTGAATTTATAACACCCTCCCCCCCACTAATTTTCATATATAATCTTGCACTAGATGTTCCCCTTACACCTACAAAATTTCAGAAACTTTCACCGAAGGAATCGAGGTACGTTGCGCGTCACGCAACATCAAAGCCAATCAAAGCGCCTGCATGGGTACGAGGCTGATAGCAACACACAATTTGCTTCTTTCGAACGATTATGCTTGAAGTATCAAGATTACAGAAGCGTTTCTACTTTCCCCATTTCACAATTTCACAAAAATAGCAAATATTTTGTCTCATTATATTTTGCCTCATTATTTTTCGCTGCTGTTTCAGACCCTAGAAAGACCTTGCCTTTCGCTGATGTCTTAATTCACCTTAAGTGGAACTATCAAAATTGATACGAAAACATGTACATATGCAGTTAATTTTAATTAGATCAAATTTAACCGACCTGTTTGTGCAGTGGCGTTAGGTTGCGACTTGGCAACTTGTCCTTTAGGCTCTTCCATGCGATTCTTTGAATGCCATATTTCAAATTCCTGTGAAAGATAAGGAACACCTTGCTCAGATTATATTGACGGCATTTTCTCATAATTTATCATGATGTATATAAGTGAACATGACAATATCTATTTTGCCTCATTTGAGTAACCATATGCATATTGCCTGATGATAGCCTCTAGGTCGATATTTTCAAAACTAATATGTTTCACCTTTAAAAAGTAATAATTCTGGTTAAGCCAATGGTGTGTCACGTAAACAACGAGAAATATATTTCAACCTGGTTGCATCAATCTATCAATCATTTATTAATTATTCACTATAATACAATAAAACTGTACACTTAATCCGCAAATAGCAAATGCTAATCGAGGCGGATAGCGTAGAAGAAATAGTTTTGTGAATTGGTAGAGCATAGTCAAAAGATGAATATAGATCTTATTTCCAGTGTACAACATGCATGTTTGCGAAGCATGCCATACACTAGAATATTGCATACCATTATTTCGAAATATTGCAAAACCTATTTCATAGATTATATGAAACGAGTCTTGCTCTAGAATAATTTCATACTAGTTATATAACTACATACTGTATACATAAATATGTGTTATTATATTTTTGTGGATGCCAATTGTTTGGTCATTAATTTAATTGTCGTAGGTCTATCAACATAATCATCCTCAGTCTCCAATATGTTTAAAAGTCACTTTTTAATTATTTTGTTAAAAGTGTTTTTTCCTAGTTTACGTATCTCAGGGCAAATACTATTCCATATTTTTGCTCCTAGTTTAGCAAAGGATAAGGTTTTTTTATTCAGTCGTGTGTGTATTTTATATAAAAGTTATAAGATACAGAATGTCTAGTGTTATGTGTGTGTACTTCCTTTGAATGAGCAATGAGGTAGCTGAGCATGCAGCTATGTACTATTCAAAACACGAACAGAAGTGCATTATCAGATATAAAACACGGGATCGCAGCTTGAGTGTAATTGCCGAAGTAATTTTAAAAATAAACGTTGTCTAAGCCGAGAAAAGCAAAGCTAGAGTTTATCAAAATGAACAATCATGATTTTTTATCACATATAAAACCACCGACACGGCAGTGATTTCTTTTGTATTTTCCTCATGATTTATTAATGAGTTTTTTAATAGTATTTATTATTAATAGTGCGCCAATTTCCGGCCAAACTAAGCACAAAAGGGCATATTCACTCAGTATCATGAAAATTGTTGAGGATTTTAGAAACCCCTCCCCCCAAGCATACCTCTATAAGATCAAGACGGATAAATACAAGAGAACAGATTATACTAGTTGTGGTTAGGGCTGGTGGCCGTTGTGAGTTACCATATCTTAGCGAGATATATCGAAATTTTCTTTTAAGGAAGTCTCACATATCGATTTTGTCCATGAGAAACGTCATATGGACGTTTCTCTGGAGACACCCCCTCCCACCACCACCACCACCACCACCACCACCCCCCTTAGAAACCTCAACATTTTGTTTTTATAGTACACATAGGCAAGGGTGGGTATTAGCGAAGTAGTTGTAGTCCGCTACTGTAGCGAACTACAATTTTCAAGTAGCCAGTAGTTTTTGACTACTTTTTTAAAACAGTAGTTGTAGTTATAGCGAACTACATTTTGCCTAAAAGTAGCCAAATAGTTGACTACTTTTCAAACAGCGAATCGCTATTCGCTACTTTAAAAAATTGTTAGCAACCGTTCATAGAATAGAATGATATTAAGACACGGTTTGCTTAAAAGATTGTTTTACACAGTAAAGATTATTTTAGCGCAATGAAAAGTCACTCCTAACACTGTAGTGCTTACAAAAATGTTGCTTTGACCCTTCTTGTTTACTGTTGCTACTCGTAAGTCGATTTGTTATATAGGTTGTATTACAGCCTGAGCTAGTGGATGCTCCAAATACAATAAAACTAAAAAATATAGAGTAGCGAAATAGCGAAATAGTTCGCTACATTTTTAAGCAGTAGCTGTAGTCAGTAGCGAACTACCTTTGTTAAATAGTAGCAGTAGTTGTAGCTGACTACATATTTTTGAAGTAGCTGTAGTTATAGCGAACTACAAAAATTTTGTGGTCAACCCACTCTTGCACATAGGTAATTTTCTACTATTTTCTACGGTCGGCTATTGGCGCGATACTTCCGCGAGCAATATATCATCTTCTGCTGACATATGTTTTTTATTAATATATATGAACTTCAAAATTTCCAACGTTTCTTCAAATTTCTTTTTTTGCATGAAATATTGACAATTTTAGCGCGCTTTTCTTGAGAACTGGTATGGTATTACGAATGTATACACTGGGGTTTGTATCACTGAAGTTGTTTTCTTTTCTATATTCTGCAAAGATGATTCCAAAATGTTAAAGGCTTTCGAAAAGACTATCGAATTTTTCCATGATGTTTTACAGAGAAACGTCACAGCTGCAAACCCCACCAAACGAACATATGACGTTTCTCGTGGACAAAATGTCAAAATCGATATGTGAGGCTTCCCTTATTAGGTATCATGCAGGCTACTTATTAGGCGGATATTGGAACTGGTGTTTTTATTATAATATTCTGGTAATGAAAGTACATAAGGCCTTTCTTACCCGTACTGATTCACTGCGCTGTCTTTTCAAGAATTTTCTTCGCAGAATAAATAAAGCGAAAAACAGCAGAATAACAAAGAGTATCGCCCCAATCACTGCCCCTGCGGTAAGACCAGCGTTTGGGCTCTTATCATCAGCTTGTGTCGTTTGTATTTTAGCAAGTACAGGATCTGAACTGTTTCCAATTCCAACATTATTTACGGCCTGAACTTTGATTGAATAAGACGTGAATTTGTCTAAAACAAGAATAAGTGAAGTAATTTGTACCGTAAGAATCCCACCGAGAAGTTGGGTTTTTTTGGGGGGGGGGTCGGAAAATTATGAATTTTGGTGATTTCCGTCGTCAAAGATATTTGTCGTCATACCCTCAGTGCTATAGGAAACTGATTTTTATATTCTTGAACTTTTAGTACAGTCAGCTGGAGTGCGTTCTTTAGTTTTGAATGTTCAATAAAGTAATTAAATCGACTTAAGGGGTCGTGGGGGATTCTCTCCTCCCCCGAAAAAAATTTGAAATCTAGGGTCCAGTCCGAAATAGAAATTCCTGCATTTTAGGAGAATTTTTAACAGAAATAACTATGCATATTACAGCCTATTTCGTTCCGGTAGCCCTTCAGCTGGGAACCTGGAGAAAATTGTCCCGTTTGGCCCTCTTTCTTGGCGTCCCTGCATGACATTTGTGACAACAAAATATCTTTCAATACAAATAAAAGGTGGACCATATAAGGTTAGGTATATATATACAACATCAATTGATTCTTACGCCTAAACCCTTGGCCGTAATATAAATCTACGTCGCGAAAGTAACGGTTTCTAAGTTTTTGGTGATATCTATAGAACATATGCTTGACTTTTGCGATTAATTTAACACGATTGTTAATTAAAATATTATTCCAAATTTCAAAACTACGTCAAAGTCTAAACGACCATGCACTGAGTAGTTCATAACTGAAAATTCGATGCCCATTTCGAAGTTCAATCTGCATTTCGAATTCTTACAATTGAAGACGAATTTATTTGCATCGAAATTGAATTCTTTCGAATCGAAAACGAAATATTAAATTAGGATATTTCGACTTGCATAATTTTACATAATCGTCATAATTAATTTTGAGCAAAAACATAAATGGCACCCGATTAGCACAGTTGTGGTTTAGAAAAACTGTAGTAGAATACACTATGCCGTTTTATATAATACCTTATTAAATTCTAATCATTTAATTGGCTGTTTATGGTCACGTGATATTGAATAGGAAATTCCATTTCCCAAGAGTCCAATGGAACACGTTCCATTGCACTCTCCGCGAGTGCAATGGAATAAAACGTATAGTGCAATTGCACTCTTTGTGTTTTCGATAAATCGCATCCCTCAAAATGCTTCTCATACGAATCTATTAGTCTATTTTGGTATTATATAAAACAAATAATGAATGTTTCTTCGTGCAATGGTAAGAATATTTTCATTCGATGAAAGATGGAATGTTCCATTCAACTCGGCTGTCGCCTCGTTGAATGGAACATTCCATCTTTCACCTCATGAAAATATTCTTACCATTGCACTCATAAACATTCATTATTTGTATAATATCGCAGTATGCTGCAGTACGGATACCAACCGAGAGATACACGTATATGGCTGTACTATTAAATGGGGCTAGGAAAGCTCTCCTGTAGTATCTGCAGTATGCGGATGCCAACCGACAAAAACTATAGAAAACGAAAGAAAAGGTATGCCATGTGAGGAAACGTGCATAATAATTAACAATTATTGGATGAGGCTGAGCAGGATATCCAGAATTATTTAGACCGAGGTCAATGTTATCTGCCGAAGCCGAAGGCTGAGGTAGTAACATTGACCGAGGTCTGAAATTTGAATAATTCTGGTATCTGCGCAAGCCGAATTCAACAATTGTTTTATTATTCATTTTGTGACAGAAAGAAAACAAAACAAGCAAAAATTGAAAACAAATAAATATTCATTGAATTGATTAACTTTTCGTATATTCAACCAAAAATTTCCCGCCAATTTGTATTTTCACATAAAATACCGCTGAAATATCTCGGGCGCCGTCCAATAACCTCAGTCTGCAGATTACTGTTTCCGCTGGAAATAGCGCAGGCACCTACAAATACCCAAAATTATTTGTAGGCTCTTAATTAGCCAATGAAAAACCGAGAACACAGTATAATGAATAATAATTAAGATTATTGGACGGGGCTGAGCAGGATATCAGAATTATTCATACCGCTGCAAAAATATGCGGGCACCTACAGATACGATATTTATTTGTCATGTTTACATGGAGATACAAGATTTATTTGTCAAGTTTATGTCTACACCGAGATACGGAAAATTATCTGTCGGATTTTATTGAGTGCCAGGCCCTGAGGATAATGCCGTAATTATAAACTGCTGTATACTGCAGTTTTTCGAGACGAACAGTATAATGTAGTATATACTACAAAGACAGCCCTTCTCGTCTACAATCAGTTTCAAAAGTCTTGGGACAGATGCCACAAAACCTTTGAATTTCAACAAAACGTCAATCCCCCCCCGCCCCCTGTTCAATGTTGTGTTCCATTTCTCGTCAGGTTTGATGTGTTTTGGTTGGAGCAACATTGATTGGGGTGGGGGGAGGGGGAGCGGAGCGGTATTGTGTGTAAAAAACTGTAATGATCCACTTACAACCTAAAACTACATGTGTCCCAACAACTTCTGAAAGTGATTGTCTGGCCCCATATGCCATAACACCATTGTATATCTCAAAAGTACAGGGGATAGAATGCTCTGCGAACGAAGTATTTCTGCGCAATTTTGTTCCCAGAAGATCTAATATAACAGTTTAAAACAATTAAGTTCCAATAAAATTCTCAAAGTTAATAATTAACAGGATATGAATATAACTTGTTATGTCATATAGCATTCTTAATCGTTGTTTGGTTTTACAAATTAATTTCGGCAGAGCACAAGTGGGTTGTTTGAGAGGTTATATAGCCCGTCAATATAAAGATAGGTATCGCGAATGTTTTACGCTAGATATGTGACACTTACTGTTAATTTATAGCATAGTAATATAACATCCGGTTACTTTCGCATGCGGGTAGCGACTGAGTCAACTGCTAGTTCGGGTACTCCGAAGGTAAAGAACGTTTGCTTTATAATCACTTATGGTCAATGTGACATTTCACATCTTTCTAGAGCACAATTTGCAGATATAATTGTCGACGCATGGGTAGGAAGGAGCACTAAGTAGGTGGGAATGTCGGAGGCTCATGGAATGGGCGGTAGTCACTTCCACACGGCAAAAGAATTGTCCACAAGATCGAGGTGGCGAGCTATCGGAAAGCTCGAGAAGAGTAAATGTGGCATTTAATTGAACCTTTCCGCAGACAATCTCAAAAATTACTATTCAGCGTATTCGTACGTGGTAAAGGAAGACCCGGACTTGGTGATTTAATTCTCCAGGGCTTATAGACCTCCCCGATGTTAGCGAGTACTGGCGAGTACTAGCGCGACCCGCCGAAGCAAGAAAGTTGCACAGGCTTCCAAAAATATGTAACGAAAGGGACTCGCAGTATACGGCGTTGTACGCATTATACAACACTGACGTTAGTGTTATACGCTAATTATGCTAATAAGCGTTTCCGGACGAGACGAATGCAATGAAACGAACATCGATTGACACTTCGATTGTCACTATAGAAATATGAAATAACAGGCAACTAGACATCTTTTAAAACATAACAAGGCTGAGAATAATCTGTTGAGAATGTCTAACAATGCATTTTCTATTAATGAAAGGGTTTGAAATTGATTAAACCAAGTTTTGGATCGATTGACACTTTTTTACATAAATAAATCTGATATATCATAGTGATATTTCCAGAGTTGAGTTTCAATCGATACATTTTATACAATTTATATACTTTGTGATTAAGTAGAACCCGTAATATATCAATAAGCGCTCCCTAAACACGTTTGCTCAGTACTTAATGTTCTGAAAATGATTATGCCGCGACAATTGAAAGTTATATCAATGAAAATGCTATGTGTTTCAAAGTGACAACCGAGCACGTGTTCAAGCCGTTTTATATTACATACATGTTTTCATGTCAAATATGCACAATCTTTAAGTGGTCTTCGATAACTTACCTTTGCATTTTATTTAGCATTAACCTAGGTCGATAATTAACCAGATACATGTGTTTTCTCCCTTGCAAATAGACCAGGTTTAATCGCTCGGCATACTATCCTCCCCACACTCACATCTTTCAGTATATAATGAGCTCATTGTATTTATAATACACTGCTGGATTGTGTTACATTTCAAAGATATTGACACAGTAAGGACTTTACATATGCCAATGCAATTCAGTAAAAATGTTATACTAAATGCTATATGATTTTCGCGAAACTCATATTCTAAAATACCCGGTAATTCAAAGAGGTTAAATATGCCTTTTTCATTGCCTTTCAAACAATCAGTTTCAAAAGTCTTGGGACAGATGCCACAAAACCTTTGAATTTCAACAAAACGTCAATCCCCCCCCCGCCCCCTGTTCAATGTTGTGTTCCATTTCTCTTCAGGTTTGATGTGTTTTGGTTGGAGCAACATTGATTGGGGTGGGGGGAGGGGGAGCGGAGCGGTATTGTGTGTAAAAAACTGTAATGATCCACTTACAACCTAAAACTACATGTGTCCCAACAACTTCTGAAAGTGATTGTAGTAGTCCTATACTGTAGCATATTCTGTAGTTTGTCGGAAAAATACTGCCCTTAACCCCCCCCCCCACCTTAAACATGGGACCCACGACGCCACTGTCCCGCTGAAAGGCACCACCAATAACAAATTATGATGATTATGTAAATTTATGCATGCTAGTTTTTTTTCAAGATGAAATAAGATAATTTATTACGATTTCGATTTAATAAAATGGGACATAAATTGTTGGAAATGCAGATTGAAGTTTGGATTCAGACATCGAATTTCCAGTTATTAACTTGGCGCGCGTCTCATAAAATTCTGCTTCGCTTTTTTTAAATTAACTGGGATTATATATATTTTAAAGATGATTCCGTTTTGCGCATCAGTTCTGCTCATAACAAAAGGGGACCCCCAGATATAAACATTGCCCAAATTTTGCATCTTTCGAACTTTTTTGAATTAAAACGTAGAGTTTATATTCATTCACAAGCATAACGAACCAGAAAAGTGTTTGATATTCAGTTAGTATATTATGTTTTATAAATATAGCACGGTTCAAAACGTAAATAAAATTCGCGCATGCGCACAGGAGTGGACATCATCTTTAACTATAATGTTTTGTTTACAATGAGTAAGCATAATAGTAACTTTTAAGTATTAAAATACTTGCCTAAATGCTTTATTACAAAAGTACTTGAGGTGACATTTTCCTTCATATAAATTTCGTGTCTATCACTTCTCCTCCATGACACTATATAATGTTTAATTTCACCATATGCATATTCTGATGGCAGCCATGACACAATAAGAACATTTGCTTCCACAATCACTCTGACATTTCGTGGACTGCTTGGGACTAAACAAAGAGTGAACCAGGATATTTGATTGACAGGTTTATTAGAGCTAGTTCATGCAAAGTAATTGCTTCAAAATATGAGGGTGATTCTTTCGGAAATCTGGATTTGGCAAAGAGGGTGTAATATTCCTTCTCTTCGAACGAGAATAAACCGTTTTGAATAAAATAATTTTTTTATATAACACTTTTTGTTTGTGGAAACACCACGTAAATTTATTACTGCAAAGCTTTCGATCCGTAAGCCTCAAATCCTCCAAATCCTCCAATTCGGCTGGACTGGACTAGATTTCAAGTCCTCGCATTTTGATCCAGTCCTCGGCTTCGCCTCGGACTTGATCAAATTGCGCTGCCACTTGAAATCTAGTCCAGTCCTCATAGTCGGATTTGAAATATTACTTCAAATATAAACCTTCCCAACAGCCTGTGTGAAAACATGTACATACTTTGCCACAATACATGTCTGGATCAATACAAGTATTTCATTTTCAAATAGATATTAGTGCAAATGTACTCAAAGTAAAACAACGGGTTAAATTTTAAACCAGGATTAGCGTTAAATGACGTGAAAATGGCGTGAAATGGGTGATTTTTACTTCTGGTTTAGTCTAGGATGTCGTTTGCGTTGTGGTTAGGACGCCATTCATGGCACTTTCACGTCCAATCTAGAACGTCGCAATTTATCCTTGTTTTGAAAAGAAATATGAGAGTATACATTACAAAAACAATTCCATTTTGTTCCCCCATATATTCTTCAATATTTGTAGCTGAATGATTTGACAAGCACCTGTTTCCCGTGGGTCAGGAATCACGTCTTCAGTGATTTTTCTTTTTTCCATTATTTTTCGTGGTTTTTCGCCTCGTCTTTTTTATCGTGGGGCTTGGGAACGAGCATGAATATGAATATAGCTGGAATGCTACCTCCATCCGGAAATTTAAAGTCAATTTCGATTGTAATCACAGTACGTAAAAACGTACAGCTATGTCACTATTGAACTCATGATCCTGTTCGAAGATGCCAGATGTGGAAAACAACGAATATTTTCTTATTCTATCCGCGATATATAAACCCTCGCGCAAAGATACAACAGATCTCTTTATTATGTACACTAGTTCAATACGTAAACTGGACTATAACACTTTTTGTAAGATGTCTAAATGGGGTGGCGGAACAGGGTACTAGTGGAGCTACAGTATCTCCCCCCCCCCTCGGAAGTAAAAGTGTGGGACTAAGGCCCTGACTAAAACAAGAGTAAGCTTGTAATATAAAGATTCTTGGTGGCTGCCTAAAAGGCAAAGTGAACAAATTTACCAACATTGCGGTCAGTGAAATATTCCTATTCACTGAGATTCCTAAATTTCCCTGTTTAGTTCAACACATAATGACATATGTAATGTTTCTACGTTCATAGATCTGGTTTTATTTGCAGATGATACTAATATGTTTTTCCCACTATGACTTGAATACATTGATGTCAACTGTGAACTCTGAGTTGAACAAGTTGGCATTATGGTTTCATGCAAATAAACTAACCATTAATATTAAAAAGACAAATTACATTTTGTTTGGACCAAGGCAGAGGAAGCAAACACTTGACTTGACTTTGTATGTAAATGATGATATTATTAGACAAGTTAATGAAACTGTTTTTCTTGGTGTAGTGCTAGATGAACACTTATCTTGGATACCTCATGTCTCGCACATTGCTAGCAAAATATCCAAATCAATAGGGGT